TTCTCCTCCTTCTCCACCTGTTCTCCCTCCTCCTTCTCACCACCTTCTCCCTTCTCTCCTTCCTCCTTCTCACCAGCTTCTCCCCCCCTTCTTCTTCCACCAAGCTTCCTCCTTCTTCCTTCTCATTCTCCACCAGCTTCTCCCCTCTTCCTTCCCCAGTTCTCCCCTCCCTTCTTTACCACCTTCTCCCTTCTCCCCTCCTCCTCACCAACTCTCCCCTCCTCCTTCTCACCACCTTCTCCTCTTCTCTCCTTCTCCTTACTCCTTCTCCACAGTCTTCTCCCCCTCCTCTTTCTCACCAGCTTCTCCCTTCGCCCTTCTTCATTCGCAACTCAGCTTCTCCCCCTCTTCCTTCTCCACCAGCTCTCCCATCTCCTTCTCACAGCCTTCTCCCTTCTCCCTTCCTCCTTCTCACCACTTCTTCCCCTCATTCTTCCTCCACAGTTCTCCCCCTCCTCCACCACCTTCTCCCTTCTCCCCTCCTCCTTCTCCACCACCTTCTCCTTCTCCACTTCCTCCTTTCCACCACCTTCTCCCCTCCCTCCTTCTCCACCACCTTCTCCCTTCTTCCCTTCTTCATTCTCCACCAGCTTCTCCCCTCCTCCTTCTCCACCAGCTTCTCCCCTCCTCCTTCTCCACCAGCTTCTCTGCTCCTCCTTCTCCACCAGCTTCTCTCCTCCTCCTTCTCCACCACCTCACCATGCTTCACACTTCTGCACGTGAGATCGCTTTGCGATACAGCTGGAAGTGACGTCACGAATACGCGATTACATCTGATTGGTTAACACAAACCACGTGACAAAATATGCAAATTATCTCCTGTACCGGCCTGAATATAGACAATCCCCAGGTGCGCATGCATCCTTGAGTACGTGGAGATGTATGTATAATTATAACCTAGCGCATCTTCACATACAGTGTTGTTGTTCAGGTACAGTGCTCAAATATGTGCAGGCCTTGTATACTCGCTCGAGATACGTAGTTTATTGAGATTAGATGCAGTTAATACGCGCCTATATATTCTATTGAGATCGTTCATAAATTGTTGAGATGGTAGTCGAGGGTATAGGTTGAAGTAATCGCTTGGCGAAGATGGGAGCTACGACTGCTTACCCCCCTGCAGATGGAGGTTGCCTCTCGTGAAATGTTCTTAGGATAAGACACGTTGTGATCGGTGATTGACGTGAACAGTTCCTCCTCATCCTCTCCGTCAAATGGAGGCTGCAAGCATCAAAACCACAACGATAGAGCATGCCCCTGCTTCGCGTCGGCATCACGGCAACGCCAGCGGGAGAAACGACCAAAGCTAATTTGATTTGATCTAGTCAATCGAAGGCAATAGAGGAACCGAGCTGCACAGAATTGTCGCGGGAAAAACGCTGTTTTTGCAGAAGACGCCGCCGGACGCCTTTGTGATGACTGATGAATTGATCACGTTATGTAGGCCAAGATGTCTAAAGCCAACCACTCAGCGCTGCACCGGCTGCGAAACCAAAACAAACATATCCACTCGATTCATTTACTTATTTGCGCAGGTTTTTTATACGACTACTACAGAAGGACATAGCGGACATGCAGACACTGATGATGGACAAATATTCATGGCATGGCCTTGTGAACTCTATCTCGGATGTGTCCGCTGAGTAGTAGTAGTACTACAGAAGGAGGCACGGGCAGTATAAATTATTACTACATGGGGACGGATTGCCGAGGAGATCAGACGTAGTAAGGAAGGGGTAGCATATATGAGTGAATAGTTTACGGGGGAGATAAGGGGGATAAAATATTACGACAAAGGGATAATAAGACGGGCAAATTATTGCGATACTGAGATATATATATATATATATATATATATATATATATATATCTCGCTATGCAACGTCCTCGCACTGACGGTAAGACGTGGGCGCCGGTATAGCCGCAATTGGGGTTTCCTTTCCAGCTAATCTAGCTCAATTTTGGGGTGCCTTTCAAATGACCCCACTGACCACACCCACCAGCGGCTGCCTGCCAGACTTACATTTCCTTACATGGGTATGTACACGAATCATTGCTATATGCATGAAAATTGGTTTCCTTTCCAGCTAGGCTGACCCCCCTGGGCTCCCGGTCTAGCAGTGTGACATTTGTCAATGGTTGGTGTTAGTTATTGTGCACTGGTAAGCGTAGTATCACAGTGCTGCAGCAAAGCACAGGCACTACTAGCACGCGTCATAGATCAGACCGGGAGAGCATAACGGAGAAACTTGACGGAAGTTAGTGCTATATGTGTTCTACAAACTCGGGATTGAGAAAGGAAAAGCCGGCGAACTCCATATCGCTGAGATTCATGATGAATAATTTGTCGGTAGGCGTCAGCTGGACCGGAAGCTGTGTGAACTCGGTGTCGAAGTTGACGGCGTTGCCACTTGTACTCTGAAAAACGAACCACGACGACTCATTGTTAGTCTACATTACTTATATTGTTACCCTGCGCGCTATATATAGCAGCTTGCACACGTAAAATACCGCTATTTCAGCATCAGGATGCGTAGCCATGATGAACCTTATTTCTGCCGTAGTAATTGTCTCTTCGATATGTTGCGAGGCGATGTGCACGTGACTAAGCGTAATAGCGGCAGCTGCGAGTGCGCGAAGCCGAGTGTATGCGACCAGCATGTAATTCCCGGAAGCATAGAGGATAGTAACATTAGCGCACGTTGTAGTCGCGATCAGAACCTCAGCGATGCTTACCACGCCACGTCGTCATAACAGGTTATCACATCGAGCACATGTAGATACAGATATAGATATATAGATATAAGCCTCAGCAGATACAGATATATGGCCCTGTATATATAGAGATGAGGCCGAATAGATGGCGATAAGGACAGGTGAGCGGAGATCAGACAGGTTAGATGGAGATAGAGCCGTGTAGATATAGATAAGTCGTGTAGATTAGTCGTGTTTTAGCTCATAGCAAAGGTTACCGGTCTGCAGCTACGTGCGCTACTGAGTCATGCTATCACGCTAGAGCATGCAAGATAAGTGCGTAGTTTCCTGTCGTTAGCTTGGTTAGGATAATCTACAAGGTTAGAATAAACGGATTATAAAGGTACAATTTGTAATACGCATTTGCCGCCGAGCAAACTAAGTCGGCATTATTAGATAGCCGGATCACAGCAAACGCGATTGACAGTTGTCGGTTAGCACGCACGCACGCAGTACGCCGCCAGGTGCGTTGGTTAGTAGTGACTACCACGCTGAGATGCACCAAGCTTACGTGCTCTCTCTCGCGCGCTCTCTCTCCCTCTCACTCTTCTTGACCTATCGCGCCGTATTAGACATCGATAACATCTGCGAATAAACAAACACAAACAGAACAAAACCTAATCGACTATGGAGAAAACCCGCGTGTCGGTAAGCCGACGAGTATCACTAAAACGAGATTGTTGCGACTAGGTCAAATACAGACATCCGTTGTATAAGATGTTTCGTGACTCGTGCAAAATGAAATTACAGTGCAAATGGATAACGAAAGTATCTCTGATCGTGTGTAAACAAATGCTATGATTGGGCACCAGCTTGTATGAAGGTGAATGCACGCCTCACGCCTATACACATTGATGAAATATGCTCCAAAATAACAAATGGTTTCAGAAACTATACGAGACCAACCCGTGGCCTATTAAAAAAAGAGAAATGGCGAAAATATCTCTTATTTAGTAGTAGGAGTTGATCAAAACACTGCAAAAAAATGTTCCCGCCACCCCGGCTTATCTGGCAACGATTTATCTCTGCGACTACACACGAGTTGTCATGGCCTGTGATTCCCGATACCCGTGCATCGACACCCAGCGTGCAGTAAGTAGCCTCCCAGTGAAATATGCTGCCTCGGCGATCTATAATAACTGCTGCCATACCCCCTGATAACGGATGCAGCATTCATGCAGTAATCATCACGCGGTCTGTGTGTCAAGCATGGCCGGCAGAGATTCACCGACACACCAGCCTACAAACGGACCGAATCTCTCGATATTGTTTCACAGCGTCCCACCATCAGAGCTTTAAGGACGCACGAGCACCGCCCTACCGCCGCCCCACCTACCTACGTGCATTAGATACACCATTGCTTGCCTGTCCCCCGTGTCCCACCTGCCTCGACCAATTACCCACCTTCCCTGCCCTATGCTACCACTAATGACCCCCCTCCCCCACCCCACCCACCAACCAACTTGCCACGCCGCCATGATTCCCTCTCCCTGCCCACTTGCTGCACCCCGCGACCCTCGCCCCTTCCCTCTCCCTGCCAGAAGTTCCCCTGCAGTGTTTACATACAATTGTCTCGGACGGGACAGTAGTAGGCATTGACGCAGGTGAACCCATCGAACTCGTCTTCGGGGATGTTCTTGATGACAACGGCGTCGGGTGGCGTCAGGTCCAGCTTCGCTCGCGTGAAGATCGGATCGAAGTTTTCGGCCGAGCGCGGGTTTTTCTGCAAGCGAGTCAACCGCATCAGTGAAGGAGACCGCTGCGTCTGCTGCTGCCACGGGAGTCTGGAGGGCGCTAGACTCGCGTGAGCTCGCCACATCTCTGCCCGACAGCGGTGCCTGTGTCAATCTCATCGATGGAGAAAACTCACTAGAGCCTTCTTGGTAGGGAATGCACGAGAAGGGATCTCAACCTCTTTCATGGAAGGTAAGTATCGAGGTGCACCTATCACCCTACAGTGGGGGGAAGAAGCCCACTAATTGTAGAGTTCATACGCGGTACTACAATCGTCCTGGTAGAGGATATACATACAGGGGAGTCACAACTTCCCTGATGCAAAGATAAATAAGGTGGAACCGCACTCTCACTGATACAGGAGATCTAACACCTAAAAACACCGCTCTCAAACAGGTTACGCAATGGCCACCAACTGGTTATATATTCTATTAAATATTTACGAGAAATAAAAGAGCCGGGTTCAATCGTCATGGACAGGACCTATACTGGGGGACGGTAATCCGCCTCATAGACCACACGTTTTGAAGTCCCACAAGCTTCCCGCTTCTCGTAAAATTCAATGACTGACTGCTACTACACACACATACCGCCAACTGTTTGATGGAGATAACTTTGGAATTGATGCCAGAGAGGCAAACTAAAATATAGCCCCTGTAATCGTTTAAACCGAATGATCTTCCCATGGAATCAAAAACAAGAGAAATTAATCGTTGGAAAGAATTTAACGACGATAAAAGCGGACATAGGCGATGAATGATTTTATATGAAAACAAAATATCGGTGGCAGTGCAGAGTGAGAAACGGATGCAAGCGGTAGCGGAACTGAAATGCTGGAATATGTTATATGTTATATCTAGAATATGTTATAACTATATATATATATAACAACAGGTTATTTACGGAACACAAGAGGGATGTTAGGCTGCTTCGAACCGACAACTCAGCAGTGGCCGAACACGCATGGGAGAACCAGCACCAGCCTGACTGGGAAGGGATACAGTGCCTCGCCCAAGAGCGACACTGGTACACACGGAGGGTAAAAGAAGCCATTAACATTCGTCTCCGCCCCAACAACTTTAACAGGGACAACGGGTTAGATATCCCCAGTTTCTGGATGACAACGATTCGCCGCCATTAATCACACGTTACGATAGCAAACGACGGCCGACCCACAACAGG